TCACTGTGGAGGAAGGCTTTGAGGTCTCATATATGCTCAAGCTACTCCCAGCATGGCACACAGTCTTTCTTCTGCTGCCTGAGGTTCAAGATGTAGAACTCTCAACACCATGTCTTCCTGCATGCTATCATGCTTTTTACTATGACAATAATGAACTAAACCTCTGAACTGTAAGCCAGCTCCAATTAAATGTTTTCCTTTATAAGAGTTGCCATGGCGCCGGGCGGTGGTGGCGCACGCCTTTAATCCCAGCACTCGGGAGGCAGAGCCAGGCGGATCTCTGTGAGTTCGAGGCCAGCCTGGGCTACCAAGTGAGCTCCAGGAAAGGCGCAAAACTACGTAGAGAAACCCTGTCTCGAAAAAAAAAAAAAAAAAAAAAAAAAAAAGAGTTGCCATGGCAATGGTGTCTTTTCACAGCAATAAAACCCTAACTAAGAGAAGTGAGCACTGCCCTCAAATGGGGGGTGATCCCTTCCATATCAATCACTAATCAAGAAAATGGCCATCAAACTTACCAACAGGTAATCAGATGGAGACATTTTCTCAGTGGAGTTTCCTCTTTCCAGATGACCCTAGCTCATGTCTTGTTGACAAAAAAACAAAACAAAACAAAAACCAAAGGAAAAAAAAAACAAGTAACCAGGACACAAATAATCTCTCTGAACCCAAACCTTGCTGAATCTGCTAGACTGGGTGACCAAGCTAGCCATGGTCGAAAGGAGGATGCTCCTACTGTCTTGGTTTTTATCAGAGTTGAGATTAGAGATGCACATTGCAATGACAGTTTTAAGTGGATGTTGGTGATAAAATTCAAGTCCCCTTCGGGAATCTGTCATTTAAAGAAACATAACAAATGATCTAGATGCATTAAAAGCACAGATTCTAGTAAATACAAACTGTGAAGAAGAGTGATAACTACAGTAAACTGCTTACCTGCTTCCTGTTTAAGCAGTTGAAATTTGATATCACATATAAAACAAAAACGTTGAAATTCATTAAACATACTATTTGAAAGCATATAACAACATGGATCCATCAATAGATAAACTAGACAAAGAGTTACAGGATTAGTGCTGTTGATCTGTGACCATCTGGTGGTGGGGATTAAGCTCTGGTCCTCTTTCCATTAAATAATAGCATCTTAGCAGTGTGTTCGTCCTCCTCCCACCCATACCATCTACAATGAACAATCGCTTTCCTCTAGTTTTAGTGTGCATTTTCACTCAGAACATGATTTTGAAAATGTATGGGACTTAGATTCTTTTCATTTTTATCAGTTACGTCAAATAAAAGAATTTGGGACAATTAGAATATATGAGCTTTGTTTTTAAAATTAAAAAAAAAATATCTCTTTAGAATTCCACTTTTTTTTGATCAGCTGATTGTATCCACAGTCCACCTGGGGAAGTCAGAGGACAAAATGTGGGAGTTGGCTCCTTCCTCCCATCATGTGACTCTCAGGTTCACACTTTGGTCCTCTCTCTCCATAGAATTGCCTTTATTCCCTGAGCCATCTTGATGGCCGAGAATGTGTGGGTTTTGTGCAGAGTATCCTGTGAACTTAGTGTTCAGTTTCTGCAGCTCAGGAACATTTCCTCTCTAAGAGAAGTCCAGGTGCTGAAGAGTTTGCTGTTACAACATGCAAATCGTTATTCAGATGAAGATTTTTAAATGTCATTTAAGTATATGAGTGGAATGCAGGCAAGTTAAGATGAATGAGCAAATTGGTGAGGAAAAGAAGTATTCAGAAAAAGAACTGTAGTGTCAGATGACTATGTTGCCTAATGATGGGACTGTTAGGTCACAAGAGTTGCTGAAATGCCAAAAGTAGCAGAGTTCCTGAAAGTGTGGTATGTGCAGAGCAGCCTGAGACTGTTTCTATCCATTGCTCCTCATGGGAGGCTCTTCTGCCAGCTTCAAATATGATGATACCAAATTTCTCTCACCTGGACAAAAGCCAGATGCATTAGTCCTAGAAATGGTCTATTCATCTTTGTTTTGTTGCTGTTATTTACTTGTTGATTTTGCTTTTGTTATTTTTTGAGGCAGGGTCTCCCCTATGTATCCTTGGTTGTCTTTGAACTCACTGTATAGACCAGGCTGGCCTCAAACTCAGAGACCCACCTGCCTCTGCTTCTGCCTCTGTGCCTTCATTAAAGGCGTGTGCCATCAGACATAGTCCAATGAAATGTTCTAATGTCACTGAAATGTGTGTGTGTGTGGGGGGGGGGGGTGATTTGTCAGCTATTTCTGTGAAGCAACTCACAGTGGGAATTCAAGATACTCCCCTACTTTTTAGCTCCTTATAATCCTATAAGCCAGGGGTTCCCAACCTTCTTAATGCTGCTACCTTATAAAACAGTTGCTCATATTGTGGTCACCCTATCCATAAAGTTACTTTCATTGCTACATCATAATTGTAATTTGTCAACTATTACGAGTCATAATGTAAATATTTTTGGAGACAAAGGTTCTCACAGGTTGAGAACTGCTGTATGAGCTATGCTTTATTTAGGAAACACATTTATTTGTGGGGTGTATAGAAATTAACTGTAATGTGATTAGAAAAAAAAACACCATTACTTTTCATACAGCCAATTTTTGGTATAACTTTCACCTATGACTTAAAAACATATGCTCTTTTTGAAAATATTCATTAACCTTTCACATGATGTATAACTAGCTTCATCACAGTGGATAAAAAACAAATCCCACTTAGAGTTTTGAAAGAGAGACCCAGTGGGAAATACACAAATGGTAAACTCTACCGAAGGACACAAAAAGCCCCATAAAACATCAGAGGGGTTATGGAGGTCTATGGATTTTAATTGCTGTGTGCCATTGGGCCTTTACAAAGCAATCAAGCAGGCAATCTCCAAAGACATTCCTGCCATAATACATTTAACAACAGAGTTCTCACCCCGTCGGCAGACTAGGGTTTATGAAGGTCCCAATAGCAATTAATGACCTTGTACTCTGAGGGGAGTGAGTAGAACTGGGGGAAGGGTGGAGAGAGAGGGAAAAAAAGAGAGGGAGGGTTAAATTGGCTCAATTTTGATGCATAATACGAGTATAGAAATGACGATTCCAAAAGGAAGCAATGTAAATACCACTAATTTTGTTCTTTGCTTTTCCCCAAAAGGGAAATTAGTTTTTTAAAGCATTAATGAAATTGATTGTCACTTATAAAACAGTTTCGTATATTTTTAAAGTTGGAAAAGTGAAATTGGTAGATTTATTTATTTTTAGCTACAATACATTATATCAGTAGCTTTAATATAAACAGATGATAGCTGTAAGTTTTCATAGATCTTAAGTGTTCATTTTGGCTAACTCTAAAGTCAGTGGGAGTGGCTAATATTGTAGTAATACTTCATTGAAAACCCACTTTGCATCACAGAGTACATCATCTAAACCTATGTTGTGGTAGTCCTTTACCAGTAAGAACTGGAGCAGACAAATATAGCACAAGACCACTCAAATGTGGGTTTTTCTTTTACGATTCTGAATGTAATGCTGCCTACCTCCTAATATAGCACTGAAGCCAGTATCATATGACTATGTAAGGAGTTATCACTTCCTTCCAACAGTTGTCTAGGTCTCTGAGTACAATGAAAGTGCTTGCATAACACATGCCCTCGTTATCTCCTTCCTATTTCCTTTGAAATACCCACTGAAAAGAGAAAGCACTGTTGGAGAACCTTCCTTACAAGTCCACAGAGACCTCAGAGAGTCTGGACATAATGCTGCTTCCCTCTGGTATCCCAATGTCCCTATTGACTAGACCCACTGTTCTCCAGAGAACCCTATTCAGTAGCCTTCCCATTTAATTCCCATTTGTGGTAGCTATTTTGTCACCCTAGCAATTGGGTGTCTATTGCCTCACAGAGTGGGGTCTGGGAGAAGGATAGTTTAAACAATGTTACTAAGCCAAAGAAGAGGATGTTCTTGGTGAACTATATATGCCTCCCTCCATACTTTCCCATTTTAACCCATTTCTACATTGGGCTTTTGTGGTTTAGACTTTAGTTAATTAAGGAATTTCTAACACTGAATTAGGATTATATTTTTATGTCCCCACCACATACCGTGACTACTAAATATTATTTTTAAGAGTTCATATGTGTTTTGTTTTGTTTTGTTTTTTCCCCTGCAGCATACTTGTGTCTGATAAACAGCAGTCAAGTCATGGTTGAGTGGTCTGACACTGTAAGAATATCTGCTGGGTCTGGAAAGGTGGCTCAGTGGTTAAGAACACTAGTTGCTCTTCCAGATGGACCAGGGTTCAATTCCCAGCACTCACATGGCAGTTCACAACTGTCTGTAACTACCGTTCCAGGGGATCTGACATCCTCACACAGATAAAACAACAATGCAAACAAAATAAAATTAAATAAATTTTATAAAAGAATATCTCCTAAAATTTGATACACAAGCAAATGGTTTCATAAGGAACACATCACAGAAACCATCATCCTCTGTATTTTATGTAGTGGTATCATCAGGGAGAAACACTGGTAACAACAATAATATCAATTTTATTTTGCATTTGTGCAGATTAGGGCTGTTTAAAAACTGTACATGCATTTTTGTATTTAAACAATATATAGGCAGGGCAGTGGTGGCACACACCTTTAATCCCAGCACTCAGGAGGCAGAGGCAGGTGGATCTCTATGAGGCCAGCCTGGACTGCCAAGTGAGTCCCAGGAAAGGCGCAAAGCTACACAGAGAAGCCCTGTCTCACTCCCCCCCCAAAAAAAAAAAAACAATATTTAAATACTGTGGTATAGTTTGTAAAGATAATTTCCTGGGTTGTAATCTCATATCTGTACAACTGAAAATTAGATTGATTAAAAGTCTACCTTCTAACTTTGGGCTCACTTGGAGCAATGTGCTAAATACCTTAATATAAATGAACAGTGTCTATTTGAGGGATCACATGGTAAGCCTTCCAACTTCTCAGAGGTTTATCACCTTATGAGTGAAATCCCATCCTCACAGGAATTCAAGGTCTCCCAATCCTGGTCCTGCCACCTCTCTCATCTTCTCAAGCTCTTCAAGATTTGCCTAGCTCTGGTCATGCAAGTCTTTGTTCTGCTGCAACAGGTGAGGATTTTTCTAACTCAAAGTCCTTATGGATCTTAATCAATTTACATCACTGCTGAGCCAATTTATCACTGTCTCTCACATGCCTTATTAATTTATTTCTTTAATTAAGGTTTCCCCACCTAGGACTCCATACAGATCAGGTCTGTGATTATGTTGTTTACTACTTTAATACCTGGAACTACAAAAATGCTTGTCATTTGTTATGTAAATTGACATATTGTTTTGCAAATTGAATGAATAATAGAAACTAGATTGTCTTCTCTTTCATTTCCTTTCTTTCCTTCCTTTCTTCTCCTTATCTTTTTTTGTAAGGTTCAAACAGCTTAAAAGAGGTGCCACATTTCACATGTACCTGTAGAAGCCCACAATGGAGTCCCAGTTCCTGATATCTGGCCAATTTAGCCTTGTCATCTTCACAAATTTGCAAAAATATTTAGTTTACTTTATGTCTATGGGTGTTTTGCCTGCATGTATGACTGCACACCTCATGTGCATCTGTCCAAAGAGTTCAGAAGAGGCCATCAGATCACCAAAACTGGAGTTATGGATGATTATGAGCTACCATGTGGGTTCTGGGAATCAAACCGGTGTTCTGCAATAGCAATAAATGTTCTTAAATGCTGAGCCATCTCTTCAGTCCCATCTCATTGCTCTAGTTTTTTTATTTAAAATACTTTATTATAAATAGCTTGCATCACACAGTGAGATTAACCAGACTAAAATTATATACATCTTAATAAACTTCTATCTTTATAGTTAGAATATCCATTCTGAATATCTACAAAATCACTTTACACTTTAATTATCAAATATATCGTAAGCACTTATCTATCACCTAACACAAAACAATCCAGGATACATTCAAAACTAGAAAAAGCAGTTAGCTTTGTAGCCTCTATTATGACCATGTATCACTTGCCTGTATCCTATTCTTCTTTATCACTTAATATTTAGCCTTTCTTAATTTCCTTTCTACATGTTTAAAGAAATATTTTCTTATTTTATAAAAAAGTGAAAAAACTAATATTGAAATGTTTCTACTTCACCATCATTTTGAAAAAGTTATGATTGGTCTACATCTTTGCCAACATTTGAAGTAGTTAGCCACTTTTCCAGTCTTCCCTTCATATTTCAGAGTAGATTTGAGTAGGCAATTTATTCACATTCTATTCTGAGTGTTGATTGAATTATATTCACCCTATTCTGAGTGTTGATTAAAATACTTTGCATGTTTTTAATTTTATTGATGATCATGATATTGAGAAACCAGCATAGAAAAATCTCCACATGTGCTTGAGAAATGTATGTGATGCAATAGTCTCATTAAATTATATGAGTAGCTTTTCCATTTCCTAACACAACTCCTCAATGAGCAACATTTTAAATGGTAGCAAATATATAATTACTCTGTGCGTAATTTCTGTGTAGCTACATAAATATTTGCATATCTAAAATTGGACATATTCCATATTAATTTTGTCTAAAGTTAATTTTTTTGGTATCTTTTTTTATTTTACAATACTATTCAGTTCTACATAACAGCCACAGATTCCCTTGTTCTCTCCCTTCCTGCCCCCCTCCCCTTTCCCCCAGCACACCCCCCATTCCCACCTCCTCCAGATCAAGGTCTCCTCCTAAAGTTAATTTTTTTATTTAAAATATTTTTTCATTTTACATACCAACCCTCCCTCCCTCCCCTTTTCCCACTCTCCCATTCATTCCTTAGAGTGGGTAAGGCCTCCCTTGGAGAGTCAACAAAGTCTGGCATACAAAGTTGAGACAGGACCAAGCCCTTCTCCCCCGCTGAGCAAGGTATCCCACCATAGGAAATGGGCTCCAGAAAGCCAGTTCATGCACCTGGGCTAAGTTCCATACAAGTTCCTCAGCTGTCAATCCAGAGTCTGTGAGCTCCCACTAGATCTGGTCTGCTGTCTCTGCTGTTCTCTCCATCATGATCTTGACTCCACCTTGCTCATATGATCCATCCTTCCTCTCTTGAACTGATCTCCAGGAGCTCAGTCCAGTGCTTGGCTGTGGATCACTGCATCTGCTTCCATCAGTTACTAGATGTAGGTTCTATGATGACAATTAGGGTAATCACTAACAAATATGATTATGAGGGAAGGCCAGTTCAGGCACCCTCTTCATTATTGTGAGGAATCTTAGCTGGGGTCATCCTTGTGGATTCCTAGAATTTCCCTAGCACCAGGTTTCTCCCTAACCCCATAATAGCTCCCTCTATCAAGATATCTCTTTCATTACTCTCCCACTCCATCCCTCCCCCAACTTGGCCATCTCTTTTCTTCATGTTCCCACCCCTCATGGCCTCACTTCTGCCCTCCCAACTAGGTTACCCAGGAGATCTTAAATATTTCTCCTTCCTGGGGTCCTCCATGTGTGTCCCTCTTGGGTACTCCTTGTTACCTAGCTTCTCTGGGATTGTAGATTGGAGCCTGGTCATCCTTTACTTTGTGTTAGCAGCATTTGTAAAATCCAGAACCTGGAAACAATCTAGATGCCCTTCAACCAAAGAATGGATAAAGAAAGTATGGTACAGTTACACAATGGAGTATTACTCAGTGTTTTTTTTTTTTTTTTTTTTTTTTTTAAAGGACATCATGAAATTTGTAGGCAAATAGATGGAACTAGAAAAAATCATCCTGAGTGAGGTAACCCAGACCCAGAAAGACAAACATGGTATGTATCCACTCATAAGTGGGTTTTAGATGCTCTAAGTTTTTAGTCACATTTGCTGCTTAGTCTTTGTGCCACCTGCCACCTTCCACCCACAAAATTATTGTCCTGATAATAATTAGCAATCTACGTCCTTTGAGCTCAACACTTGTTTCTCTCTACTTTGATATCAAACACACACGTGAACATGCACACACACACACACACACACACACACACACACACACACACACACACAATTAAGCAGGCAATAGCTCCTCTGTTCCATGAGAGGGAGGTCAGAGAGAAAGAAACCTGAGCGAAATGAATGGGTTACACTCTGACAATAAACACTGTGGTCCTTTTGTAACTCTCCAAACTTTCTTGAGTTGAGCTCATTTTAAAACGATTGTCAAAAGAAAACTTGCATCTTGATGGGAAGAGCAGAGTGTTGTGACACAGTTGTCAGCGCCTGTCTGTGTTTGCTTAGCCATGTTCAACTTGCACAGCTTACCTAGTGGTCACCTCTGCAGGGCTATTTTTGTCAGTCTTACCTCAGGAGAGAATTTTTAACAGGAATTTGGCTGCAAAACTACAGATTGTCTTCAAATATATCAAATTAAGACGACATTGTCATGCTATTTTTGCTCAAGCAGTGCAGAACAGTTGGAAAGATAGCATGTATAAGTGAAGCCAATGCGGGTGCAAGACAGCACATGCACAGTTATTGTAAAGTATTTCTCAGCTTACGTGAAAGGCACTCACTAGTGCAGATTAGTTGATTTTGTAATCAGCACCTGTGAAAGCAACAGTTTTCTGTCATTATTTATGGAGCAAAAATAAAAAAGCAATATACATCATATTTAAATTGCAAGATTCTAGTGTATGTAGGTATGCACGTATGATCAATGCCAAGGTTTTGGTAGTTTATCACTCAAACATCAGATATTCATCACTCCATATAACCCAAAGGTCATGTAAAAGGAAAGTTCTGGGATGAATAATCCAAGTGAGAAAGAAAAAAATGACAACCATTATGCAAAACAGTATACAAAAGAGAATCTGGAAATAGAATTACCATATGATCAAGCAATCCCACTCCTGAAATATATAGCCAAAGACATGAAATCATTATGTCTAAAAGACATTTGCACTTCCATGTTTATTAAAGCACAATTAATTATACCTAAAAGACAGGGTCAAACTAGATGCCCCTTGATGTATGAATGAAGAAAGAAAATCTGGTATGTATAAACAACACAATGTTAGCCATCCAAAACAACAACTGCAAACTTTTTGTATGAACATGGATGGAACTATCGAAGGTAATAAGACACAAAAATACATTTACCACATGCTCTGACTCATCATTGGAAATTAATACACCAGACTCATAGAAACATGCCATGCAGTGGAGACTAAAAAGGACAGAGCAGAGGGAACGGAAGAAGTTCAGTATGTGGTACTGAAAACTGTGGGAGTTATTTCTGGCTCTCCTTTAGCATAGTAGCAGAGTTATAGGTTGGAACTGCAAATAGTATGGCTTTCCCAGCATCTAAAAAAATTATTATTTGAAGATATTGAAATTCTTACTGCTCTGACTTGATATTATTAGATATAATGAGAATATATACCTACCTATAGATGATCAAAAAAGATACACAAATGTTATATCTTAGTAAAAAGTAAATTTAAAAGGCAGTATGAGTTTGCAATGGACAAAACAGAAAATGCAGTTAAAACCTGGGTGCACACTTAATATTAAATTCCTTGTACTGTGATTTATTGGAGTATACCATATAAGAAAATATGCTAGATTATTTTAGCATAATTCCAACTATACTGAAAATATGCTGAGGTTAAACTTAAATTGTGAGCCTTGGTTCATCTATGTCACTCTCAGTATTCTAAAGCATTTCAGAAGTGACCATGGAGAGCAGAGGTGGAAGGCTTTTAAGCTGAACTCACTTCCTCTAGTATAAAAAATGGTTTCACAATGATATAACCAAATGCATGCTAAAATCAGATTAAGTGGTATTTAAAGAAGTGTTCTTTTTCTATCCTAAAGGAGAAAATCCTTTTATTAAATTTCTAGCAATTTGAAACAAAAATATGTAGTAAAAGTAATAATAGCAATTTTTAAATTAAATAAGTAACCCATAGTCTGCTCATTTGCCTGACTCCTTTCCTCTGTTTCTGCTCAGCTAGCCAAGGTGGAAATGCCCCTTGACTCCACTCCTGGACATGTTATTTCTCTCTTTGTACTCACTCCTTTGGTGACTCTATTCCACTTTTTTTTTGAAGCCATTATATCTACCTTGTCC